GCTGGGTTTGAGACCTGGGTCTGGGTGTCTCTCTCAAGAGGTTCACTGTGGCCGTGTCTGAGACACTGAGGAGCTGGGTTTGAGACCTGGGTCTGGGTGTCTCTCTCAAGAGGTTCACAGTGGCCGTGTCAGACATGCTGAGGGGTCTGGGTTTGAGACCTGGGTCTGGGTGTCTCTCTCAAGAGGTTCATAGTGGCCATGTCAGACATGCTGAGGGGCTGGGTTTGAGACCTGGGTCTGGGTCTCTCTGTTTCTCTCAGGGGGTTCATAGTGGCCGTGTCAGAGCCACTGAGCCGCTACTGATGAGAGGCTGGGTTGAAGACCTAGGTCTGGGTGTCTCTCTTTCTCTCAGGGGGTTCATAGTGGCCGTGACAGACGCTGAGCCAGCACAACTGAGATCCTGGGCTTGAGCGCTCGATTTAGGCATCTGCCTTTGAGTCAGCATTCATGTGGTCATCTTTGTGTGTGTGTGTGTGCACTGTTGTTTGGTTCCCCGTGATCTCTCCACTGCTACACCACCTGTAGAAGTGGCATCGGACTAAGATTTTCAAGTGTGTAGGCGGTGCAACTGCCCAGGCTCCGGAAACTACACCACTGAGAGAGACCCACAGAATAACGTCGAGTCCCATAGACTAAAACAGAGACCCAAAGACTGGCCGAGACATACTTGGACTTGCATAGAGAGCCATAGACTTATTTAGAGACCCATAGACATAAACCTACTTCGATTAAACGGGTTTCTCAAACGACGACAATAACATTTGGGTTCTGCACTCAATTCGGATCAATTCCAGCCCCGAGAATCGAACGCCAGTTTGACCGTCACATGACGGACAATACTGTCATACATCTGTCTCTCCACATATAACATTTGAGGGGTTTTTTTTACACATCCCATCAGCCACACGGCCTTATGATCGTAATTTTTTTTTTTTGCAGCAGCATTGGATTAATGCAAGCAAGCTGTAGACTGGTTTCGACGTTCAACGTCTCATCAGCAGGGCCAGGCTTGCTTCGTCGGAATTGCACATACCGTAGCCCACCATTATTCGCATGTGGAAACATCAGCATACCATTTTGCTGTCTGTCTCTCGATATACATTCACAATCCTATTTAGTCACCAAGAAATGGAATTCACCCCGTCCCGTGTGGCAGAGCCAAATGGTTTTTCGCACAATTCGAAAGCTCCTTAATCTTCCGCTAGATGATCAACACATTGACGAACTCCTGGAGGGCATCAATATTAATATTATGAATGCAAATTCAAAGTCAACAAACGGCTGATGGCTCAGTCCATTTGACTGAGTCCATTATCTTCACTTAATCAACTTGCTCGCGTGCAACTGATGCACAACTTGGGTTTGCATACAACTGATGTGCAACTTCGTTTTGTGCAACTGACATGCAACTTGGTTGCACGCATCTGAATACACAACCTAGGATGCATGCAACCAATGTGCAACTTGGGTTGCGTGCAACTGATACACAACGTGGGTTGCACGCAACCGATCGCTCAGGTGCGAACCTGCCAAAAGAGAGTATTTCCTGCAAAGGGCCAGAAAATGTTACATTTTCAAATAACGCATTACTCTCTTGTGTGTGCGTCTATGTAAATGTGCCTATCATATTATAATAATTATTATTATAATAAGAAGAGGAATGTTGACTTCATATTGGACCTCTCACAACTGAGTTGGAAGGTGGCATGATGGGCAATGATCCAGCGCTGCCAACAACTGCCCGAGCTCTACATATGAAGATGTTTCCAGGCAATAAATTCGTGTTTTATAGACGTGGGAGGGAACCGGAGCACCCGGAGAAAACCGCCAGGCACGTGAGTGGGCAACTTTCCCATACGGAAAGGACGGATGACATCGGTCTGCACTTTGCCGTACCGCCTTCTGGCAAAGCAGAGTGTGACACCACCTCGAAGGGAGTTTTGTAGCATTTTTGTGTCATCCACCCACCCCCACTGCCTTCACAGTGCTGGATCACAGCTGTGTGCGCCACCATATATGTGCCTATAATGCGTGTGTGTGTCTGTGTGTGTCCGGCAAAACAACCTCCCTACCTCCTACCTCCTCGTGGTGCCGGATGGGCAACGCTGTCATGGGCAGTGCTGTGGGGGGAGGGCCAATTCCGATTGGCCTTTCCCCTCATGGCGTTTGTAACCACCACAGCGGCCAAATGGGGGCTCTGGACGGGTGCGGGGGGGCTGGTAACCCCTACACCTTCATTGCATTACGACTGAACCACTACGACAAAATTTTATAAGTAAGTTTATGCCGAAGGCCCCCGGGGGAAAGGCGTCTGACATCTCCTGGCCAAACCCATTTTGGCGGAGCCGGGAGACTGAATCCTTACCCTCGGGGCTCCTCCAGAAACAACAAAAAACCACTTCGTGTGGCCACGTGGAATGTTCGAACGCTCACTGTGGAGGAGAGGCTGCCACTCCTCTGTCGGGCGCTGGACCGGTACCGCCTGGATCTCTGTGATATTTAGGAGGTCCGGTGGACCGGCTCTGGTTTCTGCCACCATGAGGGGTGGACAGTCCTCTACTCGGGGCAGGAGACTGCCAAACAACAGGGTGTGGGAGCGTGGCGGCGAGGCATGGGAAGTTGTAAGCCCCAGGCTACTTTGGGCTCGCCTTCCCATCAACCAGACGTGAGGAGTGGTGGTCGTGGTTACTTATGCACCCACTGAAGACGAACATCCGTGGAGGGATGCAGGCAAGGCCGATGAGTCAGATGCCTTCTCTGACCTCCTGTCACAGGTGCTAGCTAAAGTGGCCCCTCGGAATAGAGTCATCTTGTTGGGTGACTTCAATGCCCGAGTTGGTCATGATGCTGGCACCTGGTCTGGAGTGACTGGAAGGCATGGGCCAGATCAGCTCAATGAACACAGCAGGAGGCTGCTACATTTTTGTGCAGCCCATGGGTTCGTAATTACCAACACGCTGTTCCGGCATCGGCGCATCCACACCACATCATGGATGCATGTCAGGTCCAAGCAAGAACATCTCCTGGACTACATAGTGACGGAACAGCGGATGCGGGCCCATGTCCTTGACACCAGGACCTACCGTGGAGCTGATCTGCCCACTGACCATCAACTTGTCATCTGTAAGATGCGCCCGCCATTCTTCCACTCCGGTGGTGGGTGTTCACCCAGGACTCCATTCAAACCCTTAGTGGCATGTTCTCAGCTAGCTGATGAAATTTGCAAGCGAGAATTTCATCATCGCTTGCGGCTGGGGTTGGCATCGTCCCCCACTCCTCCTGATGTCGAGGGGAAATGAGCGAGGTTTAGGACTGTGGCTCATGCAGCTGCAATGGCTGCTTTGAGTACACGGTCCAGACCTCCCCAGAGACCCTTGCTGAAAGAGGCGTTCAAGCTGGCTAAGAAAAAGCGACAGGCCCACTGTCATCAGCTACAGCACCCGACGTCAGAGAATGAGGAGGCTTACCGCAGCCTTCGCTCGGAGGTTCGTTATGCCGACGTTGCGCCAACATTGGACCAACCGCGTGTCAACGTTGGCCCAGCATTGCACGTTGCCCGGGCACTCGTCAGACGTCAAACGAGGTGAAGGCCTGCCACAGAGCGGTGCCTTGATGCAGGGACTCGTTCCTGCAGTGCGACTCAAAGATCAGCGAGGAAGACAAAACACAACAACAAAACTCCCGACGCATCCATCAGTACCACCGTATGGCCTTCGACGGGACAAAAGATAGACACAGGGTGCTTAAAAAAAAGTTTTTTTGACACTTCTGAGAATTTGCAACAATACCACGAGAGAACGTGCTGGCTGCCTCCAGGCTCTAGAGACCACCTGGAGAAGATTCCAGACCACGCGTTGACCACGATGGCGAACAAGTGGGAGACTCTTAGACTGTTAGAAGCTATTAAAATACATTTGTTATCATGTTACAGCGTATTACCCATCCTTTTTCCATAAAAAAACGATAGTCCCATATAAGTGTTCAACATTTTTTGAAGCAACCCTGTATATAATAGGTCACGGTACGGCCGTTTGGGCCCTCCTTCATTCCACACTTGGTCAAATGTTGTGTGGCCTAGCCATCGCGAACACTGAATGGACGCCGACCGCAGATTTGGGGTGACGATTGTGCGTGCAGGTGCCGGGTGAATTCTTGCAATGCAGGACAGCAAGAAGTGGCGGATGACTCGGAGGAGGGGGGGGGCAGAGAGGGAGGGTTCGCCTTCGTCCATCGTTGGATCGACCGTAGACGATGACAGCGAATGTACCTGTGTTTTTGCTTATCGCGCACACTGCAAAGTGCACGACCGTGTCTGACGAATGTGTCTGCGTGTGCGAGTGCTCCCGCCGCGATCGTATTGGCTGCCGTCCACCAAAACACATTTCATCCGTGTAACCCACACCGTCGCTCCCGCCACACGCTCACTCCGGGCCACGAACATTCCCGACGAAATTTTGCTGCGACCGCCGCTTTGCAGCCGCTCCTCACGTTACCGCCGGCGAGCGGCAAAGATTGATGAACTTAGTGCGGGCATTTCGTCAGCATGCGTCCTTTAAAACAAAAAATGTTATGCCAGACGGGCAGGTGTACGCTCACTCTGACATGGGGATTATGAACCCCCCCCCCCCCCCCCGTCTCCCCACCCCCCTTAAAAACAAGTGAAACCCAGACCCCAGGCCTCGAACATCGATCCCAGGATCTCAGTATTGCTGGCTCAGCTTCTCTGACTTAGCAATTATGAACCCCCTGAGATCAAGAGTGACTCCCAGACCCAGAGTTTGAACTGTGAACGTAGGATCTCAGCAGCGCCGGCTCACGGTCCCTTGAATGATTAGCCATCATGAACCCCCCTCGAGAGAGAGAAACACCTAGACCCAGGGCTAGAACCTTGAACCCATGATCTCGGCGGTTCCAGCTTGAGAGTCCCTCCGACGTGGGAGATTGTGATGAATCGACGCGGCAACTGTGAGCCATTTGTGCCTCCGTCGTGCTGCGAGCAGGCGAGCTGAAGAACAGCGTGCACGTGGCAGAGGCAGACGGAGAGCACACGGTGGCTGAGGACGGACACGGCAAGGACAGGTGGGGTGGGGTCTTCGTGTTGCCCTGTGATTGCTTTGTGTGGCTTTGTTTATGTGGCATTGTGCTGCGTTGTTTCATTGTTGTTGCTGTGGCTTTATGTCGCTTTGTCGTTTGTGGCTTTGTGTTTGAATTTGTGGCTTTGTGTTGCAGTGCGCGCGTGGATTTGTGTTTTTTTGTCGTTCGTGTCTTTGCGTTTGTTCCATTTATGTCCATTGCTTTGTGTCCCTTTGTGTCCGTGGCTCTGTGTCGATTTGTGTCCGAGGCTTCGCGTGGCGTGGCGTGGTGTGCTTTCCCCTATATATTTTTCACTCCCCTATTGAACTCCACAGACGGATAGCAGCGAGCAACGCACCAACTTGTAATGATCATTTGTTATTATTGCGTCCTGTAATAATAATGGCAGTCGACTCAACGGTGGAGCCAGCGGCTCTCAAGTCCTAGCCAGGGGTTGATTCAGACCATGGTCCCTCCCGTGCAAGGGGTGGGGGGGGGCGATGTTGCTACGAGTAATCCAACATTAAGGATTAACGTGGGTCGATTATCCAATTACGGCAAATTTAGACCGTGACGGGCACACAATTGTGGACTCGTTCTTTCAAACGACGTCAGGGGATCTCTGAAATCCACTGTGTAGCAGACGGCGATGTACATGCCGCAGTATTAACCAGGGTGGCCAAGGGCTTCAACCGTAAACCTCTGAACGCACTGCCACGAGACTGTGAATGTGTGAAATGTTAAACTCCAGCCATGGTCATTTCCTTTGTGCATTGCCCGCGTGTGCGTGTATGCCAGTGTTTACTGTGAGTCTGTGTTTACAATATGTGGCTGTTAGCGCTACGCTGCTGTGCTACGAACCTCGTCGACCCGAGTTCGATTCCCGCTCACGGCCAACACCGGTGACGATTATCTGAACCGGCCCTGGGCCTCCCCTAGGTCTACTCAGCCTCGAATGAGTACTCGGTGCAGTGCGTAGTAAACATCGCCACTTGGGAGACAAAGGCGGCCGGGCGTGGTGATAGCTACCCACCCACTCGTGAGTCGTGCCGGCCTTCATAGGTGCTGCTCGCTAACAGCACTTGCCCCGACGGTCTCTTAAGGCTGTACGGGGGATCTTTGTCTTTATATGTGCCGCTAACTTTTCGTGGCGAGTGATGCATGAACGAGTCGCGCGTGCCACGTTTGGTTTCCCAGCTTTGTCAAACGCCACCTGTGACCAACGCATTGTATGGTAGGCCTTCATCCAGCAGTGGATTAGTAAAGGTCTAGCAGTAGTTGGTTTTTACCCTTTCAACTGGCAACAAAACTGACACCTTTATACAAGGGATCATGCCTTGCATTGACGACAACACTTGCGGTAAAAAAATGCAATACAAAAAGAGACAGCACTGATAATGTATTGGCACTGTCCTTGAAATTGATTGGTCCACACCCGAGACAGCTTTTCTTAGAGCCCAGTCTCACGTGGTGTTGGACCAGATGACGCCAAAAGGCGCACAAAAAAGGGTAAAAACCTATTACTATATATCTTGCTACTGGCAAAGGTGGTCTCATAAGAGTAAAGGTCTGTCAATAATTGCATCATATGAAGTTACCTGGGCCTGGGCGTTGAGTGGCGGGCGCAGTGTTCAGCGCCCTGCGCTACGAACCGGGCAAACCGAAGTTTAATTCCCGCGCACGGCCAACATCGGTGGCGGGTGATGCCTGAACCGGCCACGGTTCGACTTTGACCGTGACAGCGTGGGGGAGCCCCTCATCCGGCAGTGGCTTCACCAGTGAGTTGTTATTGTGAGTTTATCGCGCGTGTTGCTAATTTTAAACTTTCGTTTTTTTTTCCATTTCAGCCACGAAGAATGAATGTTAACTCCAAGTGAAAGAATCTTCCCCATCAGCAAAAACCCTGATAATTAGCAGACCCATAGCTACCAAATGGCTGGGAGGCTCAACCAGGGCCACGAGTTCTTGAACAGGCTTAGCTTTCTCTGTCAGCCACGCCCTCTTTTCCGTAACCACACCCACTCAACAACTAGCCTCCGCCCACTACCCAGTGAGCTCCACCCACTGCCCCGGTAGCTCCGTCCGCTGCTCAAGTAGTCCCGCCCACTGCTCAGGTAGCTCCGCCCACTGCTCGGGTAGCTCCTCCCACTACTCAAGTAGTCCCGCTCACTGCTCAGGTAGCTCCGCCCACTGTTCGGGAGCTCCTCCCATTACTCAAGTAGTCCCGCCCACTGCTCAGGAAGCTCCGTCCACTCCTCAAGTAGTCCCGAACACTGCTCAGGTAGCTCCGCCCACTGCTCAGGTATCTCCGCCCACTGCTCAGGTATCTCCGCCCACTGCTCAGGTAGCTCCTCCCACTACTCAGGTAGCTCCGCCCACTACTCAGGTAGCTCCACAGACTACTCAGCTCCACCGTCTACCCAGGTAGCTCTGCCCGTATCACGAGTCCCTGATCATGGTGGGTGCCATGATGAACCCACGGAGAACTGCCCTGACCATACCAGAACATTTGGTTGCGTTTAACCGGACCCCAAGCCACCTCCCTACACCGTGCACATGGCAACACTCACTAGGGCGGGTGAGGGGTTGCATCCTCACTGAGCCTGCTTGAATCACAATCACGGTACGGCGAGTTCAAGTCTTCGTCAGGGGGTCACCCATCAATATCACCATCCTCACCATCACCGTCGCCTCTCCCACCATCGTGGCGACTTGTGGAAAGTCAACAGAGGTGGTCCTCTGGAGAAACTGGCCCCTGTCATGGGAATGTGGAATTTACGCCACTGGTTCAGGGTCGCCAATAGAGATGAGTGTTTGCCGCAAGCTCCTTTGAGCGCTTTGATTTTTTTGGATATGTAACTTAAAAAAAAAGAATTACCCCACAAATCGTTCTAATTACAGGGTAATCCAGTCATAGATACCCCACCGATTAAAAATGGCCCTCTTGCCTCTCCTTTGCGAAAAGCGACGGGGGGGGGGGGGGGGAGAGCGTTAAAATAATTCGTCGGCATGTTGAGATTGGAGGGAAGCGCTTTGGCAAGGGCGCAGCCCTGCAATTGCTTGCTCATGCCACTGCCGAAAGGACCTCCACTGGAGGGAGCTCTGCAGGGAGTGCCTTTAGGAGGCGTTTTCGGCCTACTCTTCCACGCTTTGTTCAGACGCCTTGGAAGAGAGACACGCGGAAGACACGCGTAGAGGCTCCGAAATAAAATGTTGTCCTATCGTGTAATTTCTCAATATTTATTTCAGTGGTGTATCTATAAACGGATCACCCTGTATTTTAGACCAAATACTTTCCAGTCTGACTCTAATGGCAGGGTGGGGGGGGGATCAGGCCATGAGGCGCGGAGTCTTACGTCATCACGTCGGGGAACTGGCGTGAAAGACGACACCACAGACCCCCCCCCCCCCCGGCCCACGTCGACAGGAGTCTCCTTCAACAGGCCCTCTGTCGTCCGCACCCGATGGCGCTCCACCGTGCTGCGTAAAGAGCGTGAAGAGGAGAGCGCGAAGAGGAGGGCGTGAAGAGGAGGGCATGAAGGGGAGAGCGCGAAGAGGGGAGCGTGAAGAGGAGGGCGTGAAGAGGAGAGCGTGAAGAGGAGAGCGTGAAGGGGAGAGCGTGAAGAGGAGAGCGTGAAGAGGAGAGCGTGAAGAGGAGGGCGTGAAGAGGAGGGCGTGAAGAGGAGAGCGTTTCACCGCGCGTCGCGTCGCCCGATGCATTTCAGCCCGCGGAGCCAGGGGCTTGGACGAATCGAGTGAGAAGCCGAATCAGACTACGCCGATGGGTTGCGTTATTGACCGGTCGTCGGCATGCGGGCTTGATACGTCAAACCCACGACACACAAGGACCCGGCTCAATCATGCGCGGGTGAATATCCTGGATTGCAAAGTCCCGGTGGTGCTGGCTGGCTCGGTGGCTCTGATATGGCCATTGTGAATTGTCTGAGCCACCCCCGATAGCTAAGTTGTAAACGAACGCCGTGGCTCACTGGCAGCTGTTCGTTTCGTCGGAACTCGAATCTGAAATACAATAGAAAATCCTGACCGAGTGAAGGTCACAAAGCTTCGTCCAAGTCTACACTTGACTGCGGTGTTTACTGATATACAGGGCAATGCATGTCCCGGGAATGGAATAGGATGTTGAATGTTATTTAAGTATCAAAAAGCATTTTAAAGTCCTCGCTTCAAGGAGACCAGGTCTCAGGTTCTTGAAACTCTGCTCCAGGAGACCGGGTCTCAGGGTCTTGAGACTCTGCTCCAGGAGACCGGGTCTCAGGGTCTTGAGGTTCTGCTCCAGGAGACCGGGTCTCAGCGTCTTGAGACTCGGCTCCAGGAGACCGGGTCTCAGGATCTTGAAACTTGGCTCCAGGAGACCGAGTCTCAGCGTCTTAAGACTCTGCTCCAGGAGACCGGGTCTCAGCGTCTTGAGACTCGGCTCCAGAAGACCGGGTCTCAGGGTTTTGAGACTCGGCTCCTGGAGACCGGGTCTCAGGGTCTTGAGACTCTGCTCCAGGAGACCGGGTCTCAGGGTCTTGAGACTCTGCTCCAGGAGACCGGGCCTCAGGGTCTTGAGACTCTGCTCCAGGAGACCGGGTCTCAGGGTCTTGAGACTCTGCTCCAGGAGACCGGGCCTCAGGGTCTTGAGACTCTGCTCCAGGAGACCGGGTCTCAGCGTCTTTAGACTCGGCTCCAGGAGACCGGGTCTCAAGGTCTTGAGACTTCGCTATAGGAGACCGGGTCTCAGGGTCTTGAGACTTGGCTCCAGGAGACCGGGTCTCAGGGTCTTGAGACTCTGCTCCAGGAGACCGGGTCTCAGGGTCTTGAGACTCTGCTCCAGGAGACCGGGTCTCAGGGTCTTGAGACTCTGCTCCAGGAGACCGGGTCTCAGGGTCTTGAGACTCGGCTCCAGGAGACCGGGTCTCAGTGTCTTGAGACTTGGCTCTAGGAGACCGGGTCTCAGGTTCTTGAGACTCGGCTACAAGAGACCGGGTCTCAGGGTCTCGAGACTCTGCTCTAGGAGACCGGGTCTCATGGTTCTATTTTGTCTTCACTTAAGCATGCATTTAAATACTGGATTGTCAATTACTGTTCAGGGAAGTTTAGTGTTTTTTGCATAAAAATTAAACTATTTTATCTCCATATATCACTGGAAACCCAGTCTCCTGGAGCTGAGTCTCAAGACACTGATCCCGAAACCCGGTCTCCCGTATTCTTAATTGATCAGCCTGTAGCACACAATGCATGCTGTAGAGAATTGTAATCTAGAATTCACTGCATGCCTCACAAATACACATGTACATAATGTACAATAGCACTGTGTAACAAAATTTTTTTGGTTCCTGAGTAGTGTTATTTACTAATTGCTTATGCCTCAAAAGTATATCAAATGGATGTTATTCCCCACAAACTTTGCTTTTGTGACCAGGACAGCGATATTTTGAAATTTACCTATTTTCCATGAGAAAACGGGCGAATTTGTGTCTTTTCGTTCACGTAAAGTCAGAAAAAAACAACATATGATTAAAAATGTACGTGTATTTGTACTAAAGTAATACAAAAATCACTGCAAAAGATTTAGACACCAAGGCGCATTTACCACAGGCAGGACTGGCCACAGCGGACCGAGTTCTCTGTGGGGAGGAACAATCTGGAAAAACGACTCACTTCTAAATCTCTGTCGTCATTTTTTGTATTACTTTAGTATAAATACGTTGTAATTTTGATTCATGTTTTTTTCTGACTTTATGTGAACGAAAAGACACAAATTCGCCCGTTTTCTCATGGAAATTCGGTACATTTCAAAATATCACTGTCCTGGTCACAAAAGCAAACTTTGTGGGGAATCATATCCATTTGATATACTTTTGAGGCGTAGCAATTACGAAATAACACTTACTGCCCAGGAACAAAAAAAACTTGTGTTACATTGTGTCGTCAACGTGCTTCACAGCCTCACGTCTTTGGCTAATCTGATCGTTTTACTTGCATCGTTATTGGGCACATTAGAGGAATATGGGCGACCCTAAGACACACACACACGCACGCGGCTCTTCTCTCGTACTCTCACTGAGGTCACACTGTGGCGATGGATTACAAAGGTGTGGTCGAAGTATCGCTCCAAAAACATCGCCCTCAACTCCTATTTCTCGCCAACGAGCTGCGTGATGGGTTTGCTCAACTCGCGTTACTCGCGGCCAAATCCCTTGCACGTGGACGTCTCCGCGACCAGACTTCCAGAAATGGGGCAGCCGATTGAGCCGCGCGACGTTTAGAGCCATCAATGTGTGCTCAAAGCGGCCGCTCCAAGACCGGTGAAGGACACGGGCCTCGCGGGCACGCAGCCCAGGTTGGTCGCCGCCGCCGCCGCCGCCAGAGAAGAGCCACCTGTTATTTTGGGTCATGCTTGTCTCTTTCCTAAGCCATGAGTGGTTGTAATTCTTACTGAGTCTTGAGTTTTCGTGGTTTTCTTTTTCTCTCTTTGCTTTGCCGCGGGGCGTAAAGTGAGCGAAGTCGTCGGCCGGCCGTGAGCTGCGTCGACGCGTATCTATAAAGCGAGACGTCACAAACGCCGATCTTAAAATGGACACTACGAATGCATGTACATCTCAATAAAGTTATCAAAAAAAAAATTCAAGTTATCTTCGGTGTTTTTTGTTTGTTTTTGTATTAATTTTAAAATAAAATTGTCCTGTTTAAATGTGGCCTCATTTCCCCCACCCCCACCCCCCCACCCCAGATTTATCCCAGTTGTTTCGTCGGCGTCGTGATCGAGAACGGGCCGTGAAGGCAGATAGCGCAGAGCTACCTCTGAGTGACCCTCCGAGTGACCTCTGGTTCACACGCTGTTAACGGGCCGTGGAGGCAGAGATTGACTACGTGTGGTTCACAGCCCCTCCTCCCACCTTCTGCAACTGGCAAATTATCATTGCATGACGATCAAACTGATCATTTAAAATTCTCCGAAGTGGAGATCAGCCAGAATGAAGTGCAGATGCAAATTTCTAACGCGATGTTTTTTTTTGTATGGCCATTGGGACTCGGTGTTTCTCGTAAGTGCCCTCTCCAATCTGGAGGTTGGTCTTCTCCTGAAATAGCTCATTGATTTATATGGCGAGTCAAGAATGTCATCGCATGCGGAGTTAACTTGTATCGTCCCCATCAAAGTAAATTCTGTGTTATCATTGTTTCCAGTGTGGGCCCCCTTTTAATTACCACATCGCCCGTGAGATGTCCTGATGCGGTCTGTGATGACCCACTGTTACCGGCATAGTGCAAAGCCAGGCATTGCAGTTTCGGACCAAGGAGGCTGGTGACAATGCAACTCCAGCTCCTTCCACACTTCGTCAAATCCCGACATCCCATCGGAATGATGCCGGTCAAATCCTTCAGGCCATCAATCCAAGAGCCTGAAGAAAGCTGCCTTCTCTTTTCATCACCATCTGCAGCGTCTTTTTTCGGTTGTTCTGCCATTCTCCACTTGGCGGTATTTGCATGTTTTTTTTGTTCAATCAAATCACGAGTGCATTTGGTATTCATTCTTATCGTGCAACGCCGTACTCTCGCGAAGCAAGGAGGTGTTTGATGAACACTGCAGTACCTCTGATCGTATACGCAAAGACAATGCACAATATATACAAAGGCCTTTAACAACACACGTTTAATGTTTATTGTCCATCTAATTTTGGAGGGTATTTGGCCAACTAATAATACATTTCCCCTGGGACCTTTTTTGTCCGTATCAAAGTGCAGCGCTGTAAATGGGCCGCGTGTACTTACCTGCAGTACCAGACAGGGCCCAGCAGGGGCAGTAACTAGGACCGGCATGAGGGTCGCTACAGTCCCCATCCCCAAAGCAGGCGGTGGGGGGGGGGGAGCTGCGGGGTGTTCTGGGATCCCCCCGAGACCTCCCACTGGAACTCTCTGGAAGGGAGGCGTGGCCAGGGGCTGACACACCTGGGGAGGTGGATAAAAGCCGGACCTCTGGACGGGTTCGGGGGCGAGTTGAAGACTAAAGCCCAGCTAGCTAGGACCCTGGGAGTCACCTGACCCGAGGTCCTTGTAAGGGCCAGGACCGAGTGGCCCAGTGGTCGGGACCTGCACCTTGGCTGGGTCGGGTCAGAGCAGGACCCAGAGACAGAAGCCCCAGTAGCAGGGCACGTCAGCCCGGAGGCGGTACCTCCTTGGAGCCTTGTGTTAATAAACGTGTTGCCTCCAACGTTCGTCTCAACACCCGTGAACCCACACTACGAAAGTGTGAAAAATAAGAATGTGTTTACCCTTTCGGGCAATAAAACAGGTGTTAAGATGTTCAAACACCAAATAGATAAATGTTGACTTAAAGCTTTCGTGACTGCAGGAATTCATATTCTTTGCGTTTTTCGGTAAAGTCGCGTAGAAAAAAAAAATCACGACGTTTCGATCGCAACACGAGCAATCATCTTCAGGTAAAAAAATACAGCAGCCGAACTTCTGAGGGAGAACAAAATGTATTATATATTTTTTTCCCTGCCTCAGGAGTTCGCCTGCTGCATTTTTGTCACCTGGTGTTGCGATCGAAACGTCGTGATTTTTTTATTTATTATCTTTCTACTACCTACGTGACTTTACCGAAAAACCCAAAGAGTACTAAATAGAAAGCCGTTTGCAAGGAATCAAGTTTCCTGCATGAACCACACACACACAGAGTGCTCGTGGGTGAACATGCAAACACAAACGCATGGTTCTCATCATCTATGATGCGTTGTCTTTGCATCGACACTGGTGAGACGACGCCACTAAGAAGCCTCCCGTGACTCGTGGAGACTAATCCGTTTCAAACACACCATTTATTTTGATTTAAAGCTTTCGTGACTGCAGGGATTCATATTCTCGGTTCTGTCGGTACAGTTGCAGTCGAAACGTCGTGAGAATTTTTATTGTTTTATATTTTTATGATTATTGTATTGTTTCCCTTCTACGTGACTTTACCGTCAGAACCAAGACTATGCACCATATACTGTATATTATCAGAGCATGTTCGTTTGGATGCTTTGCCACACGTATGTGTGGTTTATACAGATTTG